CATATAAATTTGCCTGCTGAGGCAACTGAAAAAAATAATAAAGAAAAAACAGAAGTCAATAAAAACTTGCAATGAATTCCTTATATTCATAAGAGACACTCTACCTCAACTGAGATGAATCGCATATGTAAAAATTTAGAAGAAACATCATCCACCACATTACTGTGCCTCTCTTTCCATTCTTCACATAGGTAGCTGCCAGTTCGAAAGATATAAAAGAAAGCACTGTCAGATTGTGTACAATGACAGAAAACAGATGGACTCTACTTTTAAGTTTTAACTTGATTAAATAGAGTTCCATTTCTACCAAATCTTGTTAACACCATTGTGTCTAGTGGCTATCAAAATTCTGAAGTGAATAACTCGATGCCAATAAAGCCATGTGAAACCATTTAAGCCCAAAGGTTCTACATCCGACAAAATATCAATGCAAGTTTTAAGCTGTTTGGCACCTATAATGAAACTTCAATGGTCAACACCTTGATGGCTCGTGGTTATTAGTTGTTTGATAAGGACTCTAATGTCACATGTGGTTTAAAAATCAGTAACAGTAATGACTATTATGTTGTTGGTGTGGGGGCTGGCTGAAATTTGCTAGCTACCAAGGGTAGATTGGTGACCAATAACAGTAGTTAAATTCTGGTGATTGTGATGGTAGCTGAAGTTGCCAATCATTATCATTTATCAATCAGTCAATCACCAATAGTGGTGTATGGTAGTTGGATTTAGGCAACTGGTGACAATGGACAGTGGCTGGTGGTCACCACCAGCAATAAAATGGAGATGATTATTTGATAACATGAGAATATAAGGGTAGTTGTACTTCAGACATTTCACAAGTTCAAAATATATTTGCATGTCATGGGAATTGAACATCCCCACCTCCCCCCAAAAAAAGAATGAAAAATGTGGGAATGAAGATAGAAATCAAGTTTGGATCATGGAAAAGTAAACTAACACTGTGTAAAGATTCTCAAGAATGCCCAGGCCAGAGAGAATCAACAAGCTCCTCTAGACTGATGTCGGGATATTTGCATTCCTAGAAGTCTTTCACAAATTTTTATTGTCAATTGATGCAATTTATTTACACATCCCATAAATATATCCTATCCTGGCTTGTCTTGAAATTTTAATGCATTAAAATGATAAAAATAGCTTCCACCATCTGATACCAGAGTATGAGGCACACAGAAAATATTCTACATCGGTTTGGTTTCCAGGAGAAACAAGAATCTATTGCACACCAATTATATATGTGGAGCCAATTCCACAAATCTATACACAAAATATGTATTCAAGCAGCTTTATACAGAAGCTAAAACTTCTGGTCATCTAAGTATGGAATGAAATTCTGAATAAAGGCTAATATTAATGGACCTCCAAATCATCATAAACTAGAAAATAGGAGACATATATGTCAATTTCAGCTATCAGTAGGCTACCTTTGGAAAAGATTCTTGAGACCTTTATGACTTCCTTTTAGGGAATCCATGTGCAAGATGCAAGGTACTTTGGAAGATTCCTTAATTTCTTCATCTACAAGACAATCAAATAAATTGGAGAATGTCTAAATAACCAATAGAATAACAAGTCTAAGGAAAGATATCTTGCCTTTGAAGAATGCCACTTCACCAGGATGACAAATGACAATCAAGCTCCAGTGAAAACTGTCATCAAGACAGATTAATAATTATTGAGATGCAACAAAATCCATATGAGCAAGCAAGATATTGTCTTGCATTCTTACCTGTAGTTTATGGGAATCAAGATATAATCTTTTTCAAAAAGGTTCACTTTCCTTGTCCATTTGCGTACACGTTGAAATGCTGCTCTACCATCACAAGCACTTGATAGATCTTTGTCTAAATCAGCAAGCTTACAAAAGAAGAAACTATTGAAAAAGTGAAACCTGTCCTGTTCATCAGCTGGGAGTTTATTTTTCAAATACCTATAGATACACCATATATAGCAAATGTCAGTTCATATGCAGCCTCAAAGAAAGACATAAAACTTCAAAGAATTATTCTATTTTAAAAAGAAAACAAATGCATGTTTGAAATAGATCGATTTTGGGGGGAATAATAATTTTTTTTCCATAAGTTCTCTAAAGAAGTTGACAAACAAAGGGGAATTTTATAACAAGATGTTCAAATTAATTTCAATCAAGCTAAAGGATGAAGTTGAGTAACATATAAGTTAATTATAGGAAACATCCTTGAAAATCCAATAAAAGGTTAGAATTTCTGCTACCATGCTTACTTGATATAAAAGTCAATGATAGTATCATTGATGAATGTCTGTGGCTGTAAAAGCTCAATATCTCTCTTACTTATAGAAACAGCATCAGGCTCCCCCTTTGGATAAATAACCTCATCAAATGCATCATCAAAACTGCAGAATACAATATTACTTTCACAAATAATTTATCATCAATAATTATCATACTACTCTGATAGAGATTTTCTAATACCAAAAGCAGATTAGCTAAATAAATGCATAAATGTCAAAAGAGTTTAACCATCAGAACCAAGCTTCATGGAGTGGCATGCAAAAACATGCTAAGGAGTAGGGACACAACCTAAAGTTGCAATGACTAGTTACTCAAGAATAAAACATCACAAAAGTTCAAGCTTTTAAATGCAAGCTCATGAATGATTTTTTATTTCTGCAAGTTAAACACCTAAAAAAAATTAACTAAGTGTAGATCAATAGTGCAAGCCACCTTGTCCTGAAATTTAATATAATTGTGATCATGATCAAGGCAAAATTTAATATAATTGGGATCAAATGCTAATGTCAAGAACCAACTAACAAAAGCATAAGCAATTAGGTCCAGTCTCACATGTTTTTCATCCATAATCTATAACCCTAAAAGTACAAAAAAAAATAGTAAAGAAGCAAAACAAACAATAATGCTTTCAATAACTAGGGGACTCAAGAAATTCTGGCTCATAACCATCAAAGCAAATAACATAGTGAGGATTCCAGAATTTATTCAGATATGACACTCAATGTCACATAGACCATATTTCAAAAGACTCCAACAGAAGTAAAAGTGTTGGACTCACTTAGGAAAATAGCGCTTCTGAGAGAAAAAGCGGCCTTGCCCCAATGAAGAACTATTTCCATTGTCATCTGCATCAATGCTGCACGGGGGAAATAATATGTAATACCAATTAACACCTTATAATATTGAAAAGGTGTTGTGTTGCACTTCATTGTCTGTCATAAAGCTGTTTTTCTTTTATATACTCCATGTATCTATATAACCTAAGAGATGGAGTACTGTTATGCACTTTCTTTTTCTCTCTTTGTAATGTCACTTCACTTGTTTACATATATAGACAAATATCAGCTGATAGTAATGGACTCTGCAGCATTATTCAAAATATTCAACTAAAGTATTAAAGCACCAGAATATTAAAGACAAAATGATGACAATATTTCACAAAAAAAAAAAAACTGAAAACTAATCTTAAATGAAATCTATCTCACGCCATGACAGAACGTTAAAAACTAAATAGGATGACATACTAAAACCATAATACCAATTGATATAGACATGTATGAAATCTAAGTTCAAAACGATCATCCTGTTGAATTATAAATTATATTAATTTAAGGCAGAGGGAGCACAAAATTATATAGATACACCTTCAGCCTAGCTCTTCTCTAAATAATATATAAGTTGGGTTTTGAAAGTAGACATCATCGCAATTACAAAATAAATTTTACACTCCATAGAATTACAAATAACATTCTTACTCAAAAAATGTGCTCCATATATCTGCGTATCGCATGTTCAATAGTTTGATTGCCTCTTCTGCCTTAAACCAACATGAATCATACACTGCAAATTTTAACAGCTTAAAGCCTGCACAAATTGTGAAGCAAATTATTGATAGGTTTTACATGAGGTACAGCTGTCTAAATAATAACATGATCAAACCCCCCCAACAATAAAAACAGAAAGACAATTATAGCCAGCAAATAGCATGGTGTCCATCTAAAAGAATTCCATACGAGGTAGTAAAATTGGGATTCAAATTGTAATTCAGAAGGCCATTTTCCGAATCATGAACGGAACTGTATCATGAGTTTGTAAGATTCATGATCAATAACAAAACTTAGCATATGCAACTAACAAAGACATTATAACATAAGCATGATCAATAACTAAAAAAAATAACTCTAGGAGCATGAGATGCATGAACTCTGATAAAATTTGTTATAATAAATAATACTCCTCCGGTCCTTTTTATAAGAAACAAAGGATGGTATGTAAGGACAGGATATAGTATTCAAATTTATAATAAATATTCCATCATTAAAATTACTAAATATTAAAATTTATTAAAAAAATATTCAGCTATTAAATTTAATATAAACAATAGTCACATCAATTAAATAAATTATTTTTTGGTAACCGTGTTAGAATATTTTTTATTCGATACCAGACAAAAACATAAATATCACATCAATTGTCAAAAATTAAAATTGACGGTTAAAACGCGGTCTTTGTGTTACATCTAAGACACTAAATGACTGGTGACTTTAGGGGATCAACTTTAGGGTTAGATGCAGTCCACACTGACTTTATGGTAAGGGTTGAGAAACAGGTCATCTCCTGAGACCCACTAGATTCAAGCACAGCCATGAACATAACAGAAGTTAGAAATGCAGTGCCATTTTGGATGAACAGCACTGCAACAGCCCTTGTTGGGTGCAGTGGCTCCTGGGCCATAAGAATCATGTGATTCTTCCCCAGGTCATTATTCGTGTGATTCTAGTCCAATTCATGTGATTCATGGTATGATTAAAGCACCAAAAGGGTTCGCCAACCAATTCATATCGTCAGCTGCTCAAATCATATTGAATTGTACGTATCTTATTGCCAATAGTACTATACTGATAACACTAGCCATATACTCATAACAATTGCAATTAATTAAAATTTTCAAATTGAAATCATTAGGACAGAACATATATACTCTGTATTGATGCACATTAAAAAGATCAATTACATAATTTTCAAAAGTAGTCGCACCTGGATTTTGATTTATATTTCCAACTTCTGTATAATCTTTTGATTTAAGTAGAAGGTTGATCAAGGCTGTTTCAATCTGCAGACAGAAGACAATCAAATTTATTTATTAGAGATAAGGGATTAATAATAAAAATAAAAACAATAGTAAAAATAAAATCAGCTTACATTTCCAAACCAACATGACTCAATTTTTATAATATCTTCAGCTGCCCACTCAATTTTAAAAGTTTGCCCAGTTCCATTGATTGTTGAGCCTTCAAGTTTTAGGGAGCTGCATGAGAATGTTACCCGGGACCTAGTGGAATATAAATCGTCATACTGAATAAAATCAGGAATGACATCAACCACCTTTTCTATGCCATTCTGCACATATGAAGAAACCAGTTTGGTTTACCGGAAATATCCAAACAACGTTAAAAAATAAGAAATAAGAAATCCATACATAAATTAAAATATTTCACTTTAAAGCAAATATTATTTGATAAAAAATAATTCAAATGAAAGAACTACAATTTACATGTGCAATAATAATCAAGGTTTTTGAAACTGTCTCTTAAGACCGAGAGTTGAAGATATCAGATCACATAAGCCCACCAAATAATGCAGAGCATCAAAATGGTGAAAAAAAATAAAAGATTTTAGTTTTCAAAATAATTGTTAAAAAAGTTTATCTTCACAAGTAGAAATATAACGAGTATAAAAAACCAAATCAAGTGCATAATAGAATTTCCACTCTATAGAATGGAAATAAAGAATTAAATTTTATATAACAACATTCTTTTATAAGAAATCTCAATACTACACCTGCCTTTACGTCATTTAATTATATATTATTGTCTACATACACTTCTTCCAACTTCAAAATTATCATATGATAAATTTTCGGGTGAATAATTACAATTATATTTCAACATCAACAAGTAATCGATATCAAGTCAGTTTTAAATGAGAAATTTTCCTATTGTGAGCAATGAAACCTACAAATATTGATTATTATATCATATTTGAATAGTCAAAATTAAAAGAAAAATACACGTGTTTTTAAGTGGTCATAACTAATTACCTTTTAATCTTAACCATTTATGTGTAGTTTTATAACCTAGATTTAAGTTCCCAATTCTCACAATAAGAGTGTTCTCGCTTGACGGACCCCTACATATATTTCCAACTACACAATTTCCATCTCTCTCTTTTTTTTCGGTCTCTCCTACTTCCATTGTCATGACACTATTTCCTAACATGTCATAACCTGATTTCTTTCCTCCTAAAACAAGAAATAGAAAACGTAAACCAAATTTCAATTTTTCCATAATAAAACCAAAATTTTGATATGTAATCTCCTCAGATTACAACAATCAGATAACGCAAGCAAATAATTACAAAAAACATGAATAGTACACTTACAATTTCAAATGCAGCAGAATCATGATCCACTAGCCGGTCTCCGAAGCTAACTGAAGTAACAAGAAACATAACCGAAAATTAGTAAAGGAAAAACCAGTACAAAATACGAGACGTATGATTAGCAAAACAAAAACACCTCAAATATCACTTACAAATTCTTAAAGCAGGGGGCAAAAAATACCTTCATAATCCGACAGATTCGAAGTTGACGTTGAAGTTGAAGAAGAGCTCGTTTGACTACTATCGTCGTCCTCAGAAGCCACATCAAACGATTGATTCTGAAACAAAATTAAATTATCGGTCACCGGAAATATCCAAAACATTCTCGCAAGAAAAAGCATAACATGCAAACGAAAAAAAATAATAATGGAAACAACGATGATTAATTACTTTCAAGTCAAAATCGCTTTCCACGAGATCAGTATTGCAAGAAATCTCGTTATCAGCGGAGTGTTGTAGCGGCATGTCCACAGAACACTGATCATCACATTTTCCGTCATTATCAACATCAGTACGACCGTCACCGCCGTCGTCGTCGTCGTCTTCGTGAACAGCCTCTAACGGTTTGTCGGAAACTTCCTCCGGCGAGCACTTCGTCTCTTCTACTGATTCCGATTCTGATTCAAACGAAACATTAGAAAAAGTACATAAACCATAATCAGGCGAACGAGTAAGGGTGAAACAGTTGGTGCATGGATGATCATACCTTGTTCGGCATCGAGGTCAATAGGATCGGCGGGAACGTGAACGGACGGAGGTTTGGAACCGCACGAAACTGCAGAAAGGGATAATGATGAATGGCGAAGAAATGGAAGAGAGAGAAATTGAAAGAGTGGAGTGATTTACATGCTTGGAGAAAGTTGTATTTGGTGAGGGGGGAAGCGCGAGACCTGCTAGGGTTTGCGAACTTGTTGAGAATCCTCTGAGAAGCCTTCTCGACGTTCTCTTCTTCAGCATTGAACTCGAAAACTTGGAATTTCTTGGTTGAGGAAGAAGAAGACGACGATCGCGCGCGCCGAGTCATGGAGCGAGTGAGTGAGTGAGTGAGTGGGACCGAGTCAGAGAGGGGGGGAAACTCGCTTCGAAGAAAAGTATTAGTGCATTACATAAATTACATAAGTGTTTGAGTTATATATGCATTTGGAGGACCAATTTTTGTCGTTTGGATTTTCTTTCGTTTTCCCCTTTTCTTTCATTTCTATTTCTATTGGACCCCTGTATGTACATTTGGTCAAGGCAGTCATAGACTCATAGCTTCCTCCTTCCTTCATGATTTCATCCATTTAGATTCTTAAGTTGTTTTTCTTTAAATAAAACATTGAGCTAATTGATAATAAAGAAGATAAATCTCTTTTTCTTATGGTTATTAAAATCAAATATATAAAAATTAAAAAATCGTATCAATATCATAGTTTTTATTAAAAAAAAATCTATCTTTAGAAACACAAGGGAAAGCTAGTTTATTTATATATTTTTATACAAACATTTTGTTTTTGGACAAGGTTCAAATTTATAAACCAACTCAATATATGTTTATTCAACTTTACCTATTAACAAGTGTGAATCGTTTATTCAAATAAGTATAATCTATGAAATTGCGAAAATTCTAAAAAAGAATGGCTTTGAGATGATAAATATAAATATATGAAGAAGAAAAAAATCTCTATTTTTATATTTCATAGAATACAATTGGAGCTTATCAATACAAAAGAATAAGCTTGAATAGTCTTTTGTGATTCTAGTGACAATTAGATCAACATATTATTTTAAGAGAAGTTTCTGTCAAAGTTCAGTATGAATCTTTTAGTGTTTAGATTATATATATATATATATATATTAGGCTAAAAACTTAATTTGGTCTCTTATAATATTTGTTTGTTTCAATTTGGTCCCTAATAATTTAAATTATTGCAATGTCGGACTTCCGTCCAAATTATTTAGACGGAGTTAACTGTTGGCCATGTAGATGCATAGGTGGATGCAAAAAAAATTTTAATGCATCTGGAACCAGAACGGGCCGTTCTGTGCACTCTTGGTGTATTAATTTTGCATTTGGAATGGACCGTTCTGGTTGCAAAATTAACACACCAAGAGTGCAACCAGAACGGGTCGTTCTGGTTTCAGAACAGATCGTTCTAGTTCCAGAATGCCAAACACAAACGGTCGATGATTATAGTTAGTGACAGATCCAGAAAATTTAGATCGTGGGGGCAATACTTATTCATATATTTGTAATATTAAAAATTTTACATATAATTTTTAAAAGTACAAATATATATTATAGTTATTTTTTACAAGTTTTTATATCTACAATTACGATTAAAGATGAAAATAAACTAGGTCAGATTATGTTATATTATAATTTAACAGATTTAAACCTAATTTTCATTAAAAAATACATGTTATAAATATGATATATTTATCTGTCATAGATATTTTTTAAAATGTTTGGTTAGAACTACAATTTTAAAAACCTACTTAATAATAATTTAATACTAATAAAAACATAAAAATAAATATGTTAAATCTTATAAAAATCAAGTTTAATTTATTTATCATATAAAGATGTTTTTAATATGTGATATAAATTTTTACAATTTTAATTTTTTTTATCAACATAAACAATAAATA